ATATATTTTTAGTTGTCCAATTAATTTCTTTCTATTTTTAGTAGAGACGGGGTCTCGCTCTTGCTCAGGCAGGAGTTCGGACTTGGGGTGGGGGCAAGGGCAACATACGTAACCTAAATATCTGTAACCCCAGGTCCCCAGACCTCAGGTCTGGAACTCCTGAGCTCAAAGGATCCGCCCACCTCAGCCTCCCAGAGAGCTAGGATTACAGGCGTGAGCCACTGCGCCCAGCCTGAAATGGAGTTTTAAGAATAAAACACAGTGACTCAAGGGTGGAAGAAATGGATATAAAGTTATGTGGGGTTGGCTTTTCAAAGGAAAAGATGGAATGTGAGTACAAAAGATAAAGGGCAGGGAGAGTGTAATATTAACAGTTGAAACTTACTGGAGATAATGTATAGAAAGAGCCCGAGGAGACAAGAAAACCCCCATTCAGACTAGCATTTGTGGGGATCTACCCTAAGGAATAGCATTAAATGCAGAAAAAAACTACATGCATTAAAAGGTCTTCAAAAAATATTAAAAAGTTCAAAGATTTTTGTTATGATAAATATACTCAATTGACTATTTTTAATGATTATGATAATAATGTGATGAATTTCTCATGACGTAATAGTTGGAGAGATAAGAAGGCTACTTATTAATAATTTGGGGTAGGATTTACACCCATTTTTAAAAAATCATGCAAATAAAAGAAAATAAACTAAAAGTAATTATACCAAAATGTTAATGTGGCTTACTAAGGTGATGAGTCTAAATGATATTTTCTTTCCTGTACTTTCCAAATGCTTTCATATTTTTCACAACAGAGAATTGTCCTAGTATTTGTCCTGTAGACCTCTCTCCAGAGTACAAGCACATCGTGCCCTTGGTATGGCGGAAGAAAATCTCGTCACAGTGACCCAAGCTCCTATGCTTAGCAACAAATACGGTCTAAAGCGATGCTAGTCAAACTTACACACCAATGGGGATCTGGTTGAAAATGCAGATTCTAATTCAGTAGGTCCGAAGCGAGGTCTGATATTCTTTTTTTTTACTTTTTTTCCCCACCTTGCCTTTATAAAAGTGGCATGATATTCTGCATTTTATCAAGCTCTCAGGTAATTGATGATGCTGTTCCTGAGTAACAAGAATGTAGATGACTTCATTGACAAACATGTGTGGGTATAGACAAGCAGGAGTAGATATAGCACTAGTAACAGAAATTTAAAGAGATTCCTGTTTTCCTAGGAATCAGTGGACCTTAAGAATGAGGAAAAGCAAGACCTGGCACAGTGGCCCATGCCTGTAATCCTAGCACTCTGGGAGGCTGAGGTGGGAGGATCACTTGAGGTCAGGAGTTGGGGCCAGCCTGAGCAAGAGTGAGACCCCATCTCTACAAAAAATAGAAAAAAATTAGCCCTGCATGGTGGTGCATGCCTATAGTGCCAGCTACTTGGAAAGCTTAGGCAGGAGGATTGCTTGAGCCCAGGAGTTGGAGGCTGCAGTGAGCTATGGTGATGATGCCACCGCATTCTATCCGGGGAGACACAGTGAGACTCTGTCTCAAAAAAAAAAGTGGCCGAAAAAAAATGAGGAAAGGAGCAGCCATTCAGGGATATTTTTATAATCTACTATCGTTTCCTATTTGAACACCAATAATTCTAACTACTATTACAAATACCGTAAGGCTCCTGACCTCTTAGAATTCATCATGTTTTAAAAATGAGAAGTGGAAACATTTAATAAACTTCTGATAGATTACAGTCAAGAGTTTCGTGTAACTCTATAACTTCTCTTTTTTTTTTCTGGTGCAGTACTAATGCATTTTACAATTTTCAAGTTCAATGATAACTACTTCAATTCTCAGATGGTTTTGGGATCCATCTCAAATAGGTTGGAAACCAGATGATTATATTGGTAGCACTTATATACCTGCTGCTTTTTATATAAAGATTTTCTTTGGGCGGAATTTTGGCTTCCCCATTTGGAAAGTGATTCTGGCAAACCCCAGTAAGTAAGCAGAGAAGTAAGACAGGGAAAGGAACAAAGCCAATGAAGCTTGTTGTTCAAGAAAGTTATCACTTTGATAATCGGAGCTTAATCCTGCTGGGGAACTTTGAGTGTCAGTGTTATCCCATCCAGTGGGAAACAAATTGGGGTATTTATACTCCAACTCTTGTCCTCCAGGAGTTGAAGCCTATTCATGGGCAGGGAGGGAGTAATTCATGATGCTGAGCAAGCTGACAAAGAGTTCTGGAAGCCAGAGAAAAGCCGTCAGTAAGAAAAAATGTAAATGTCAGTGTCATCAGTTGGATCTGTAAGCACTCAAGTGGTAAGGGTGAGGACATGAGGGGGGTTGCTAGGAGCATCTGCTACTGCCTCTCCCGTTAAGTATTATCCCAAGATTTGATTACCATACCTGCTTAATTTCGCTCTCATTTTTTTCAAACCTGCTGCTTATTCCTTCTTTGGACTGAATTCTTTACATTTTTGGTTTTTTAAATTTAATCCATTCTTTACACACCTCTGTAGAATTTGGGATGATTGTTGTGTGAATTTAACCCTCCTTCCCTTGGATGATTGCAATAGCCTTTCAAATGATGCGTCTGTCTTCACTCTTTCTCTCAGCCAATCCACTCACCACAATGTTACCTAAATATTATTTTTAAAAATGAAGTCTTTAAGCTAGCACATAAAACCCTTATGACTCACCCTCACCGACTGCTGCTTCCCATTTATTACACAGTTGACACTCCAGAAATACAAACAACTTACTTGTCATTCTCTGAGTAAACTATGCTGTTTCATCCTAGTATGCTATTTTATTCAACTTGGAATGCCCATAATTGTCTATTAAAAACAATTCAGTTGTCATGTAAAATTAGAAGCATCCCCACTACTCCTAGCCACCCCATCACAATTAATCTCTCCCCAATTCCATGATACTTCTTTTGCTTTTGTAATTGTCATTATTCAATAAAATGTTTTCAACGTTGTATTGGCAACATACTACAAAGCACCTTGCACCTCGTATGGGGCTTGCTGGATTGAATGTAACAATTTGGAAATTGCAGTTGTATAGCCAGATGCAAGTCTGATATATAGACCGTCACAGGAAGAAGTCTGTTGAAAAGTTTTAACTGGTTAGAATACAGTTCTCTCTCTTAGCTTTAGTAATGTGGTTTGCTTGTTGTGTATCATTGGGGAGCCTCTAAATCTTTCAGTTCCCTATTTCAGCATCTTCTGATTAGCAACAAAGGCATTTACAATCCAGCACTGTGGTGACGCTAACGTTATCTTTACCCTTCATTCTTCTTTAACCTATCAAAGAAAAGAAAGCATCGCTTACTTCAACTTAAAGTTGGTAATGATAGAAACTAAAAGCTAAGGCATGAACAACAATCCCTCACCACTGTGGAGTGGAGCACAAGCCATTTTTATAGACATTATCACATTCGATCAGGTCTCACCCACTGACTTGTAGAAGCGTGTGCTGTGTAGGTGTTGAGATCTTAAATATATATTTCTGGCACATTCCCAAATGTTTAGGATTTCTCACTAATATTTGCACATATTCCACAACTCAATATCTCATAAGCTGTGAATTTTCCCATCTCCTGTCACTGGAGAAAAATTTTCTACAAAAAATATGGAATGAGACAAGAGCTGAGTTATCTGTGGCCAAAGTGTTCTCTCCATTTCCTTTAGACATCAAAGAAAGAGGGATTTTAAAGGTGCTTTAGATCCTTCCAAATCCAGTCGATCACTTCTTAAGTAATTTTTTTTTCAATTTTAAAACAATGCATGCTCACTGATGCAAATTGTTTTTCCTCCTTTTTTTTCTTAATTTCAGCATATTATGGGGTTACGGATATTTAGGTTACGTATGTTGCCCTTGCCCCCACCCCAAGTCCGAGTTTCAAATATGTCCATCCTTCGGGTGGTGCGCATTGCACTCTTTGTTTTTAATTTAGAAATTTTAAAAGTCATTCAGATATAAAGCTCCAGAAACAACTATAAAGAAACAGAAAAGATAAGGAGGAAGAATATTTTTGTAAAACTAAGATAATAGTTTGTACTCAGTATTATACACTACATTTTGTTTGTTCTTTTTATCACATTATGAGCATTTTCCCTTGAAGCTGGACATTGTTCCACTTGCTTTGGTAAATCTATGCAATATGATTTTATTGTTTTTAAAATGCAAGAGGCCAAATGGAATCAGTTTAACTTTATTTCTGGAGTTGCCTACAACAAATGAAATAATGATGTAATATTCTATTGTCATTTTTATTAAGAAAAAAATTTGAAAATATTAGATGAAGATAATTTCCATTTTTCCAAAGATTATTTTTTATATTTTGGGTAACATTATATTCACAATACCCTTCTCAAAGGTGAGTCATTAGTTCTGACACACATCTGCACTACAGCAAGCAAACGTTTGGGGGAGAAATTAACTGGCACATATGGGGGGTGGGTGTCACTTTCCTAACTAACTCTCCCCACCACATATTTCAAAACATTTGTTTCAAGCCACTGTGTTCTGCTCCGTGAATGTGAGATTTCCAAATAATAATTTCATTTGACATGTGAGAATCCCTGGTGTGCCAGAACTCACAATATTATCGGGCTCACTAAACATAGCAGCCATTCTACGTGGCACAGAACATGCTTTTGTTTGTTTGTCTCTTTGTTTCATGTTTGTATTTTTCACTAACATTCCCTACGATGAATGTACATGTAACATGTGAGCAAAGAGAATATTTTCCTACTGCAAAAAAAATTGTTTCTAGGAACTATAATGGAGAAACTATATAAAAATTTATGGTAAGTCATTTTGTTTTGACATGAACCATGTCATGAACCATGCTTTTAATAGATGAAGTTTTAGCAAAGGTTCTTAATGGTATTAGACAGCAAAATCTATGCTGTAATAAAATTCATTTACTCTGTAAAAATGCTATATAATAGTGACTTTATAGTTAACAAGCCCCATATTACCACATCATTTCTGGAAACATCTCAGCAGCACAGTACCATCCACATCCCATCCCCTCAGTACAATTTTCTTAAACAACATTCCCAATCATTGATATTTATGTATCTCACACAAACACACAACAACAACAACAACAAGAACAGAGTGTTAAACAAAAGAGAAAGCTGTTCCTTAGAACTCTTGAACAGGCAAGATGTAAGACGGAATGGAATAAGGGTTTGAGAATCTAAGCCAATATGTTTTATATAATTAATTTGTAAAGTTGAGGTAATTACACTATATATCATGAATGATTAATTTTGGTTATATAAAGGACCGTTTTAGAGTTCTTTACAAATAGTGTTTTATTTAGGTCTATGTAATTTTAGCATGATCGAATTTTTAAAAGTACGTATTATCTAAAAGCATAAGAAAATAAAAATCTTTAATTTCTAAAAAAAAGTAATTATATTCTCTTTGCTTTGAACTTTATTTCTCACGGTCTCCTAGAGGGTTTTGTTTTTGTTTTTGTTTGAAAAAAAAAGGGATATATTTGATGCTATAATAATTCTTGTCTCTGGCAACTGTTTTTGTTTTGTTTTGTTTTGTTGATTTTCTTAAATTTTTCTTTTTTGTGGAGACAGGGTCTTGCTATGTTGCCTAGGCTGGTCTCAAACTCCGGGCCTCAAGCACTCCTCCCACCTCAGCCTCCTGCAGTGCTGGGATTATAGGTGTGAGCCACTGCACCCGGTCAACAGTATATAATTTCTTACACAGTTTTGTTTTCTATCTTCCAATTTAGGTTCAAAGACTTTACGAAGTCTTAACAATTTACATGAGATTGACTTCAATGTTAAATGCTTCAGTTCATTTACGTCATTCTTTTTTCATTATTAACATAAACAGGAATATGGGAACATGGGAACATTTACTATTATGTTATTCTTTTTTCAATTTGTTTTAGGAAAAAATCCAAAACGAAAGCAGAAACACCAATTTTAACTGATTAAAAAAAAAGTCTGTAACTATTACTATCTGTAGAGAACTGTTCAAATTTCGTTTTAGCCCCAGATATAGGTACAGATAAAGAGATTTCAGTTATTCGGACCCTGATACCAAATCCACAATCTTTCTAAAACCTTGTTATCTTCATGGATTTTTCTCTTTTGAGACACACATGTAAAATTAAATTCGTTAGACATGAGCTTTCCCCCCTTTAGAAATTATGTTAAATTATCATGTATACCTTAACTTAAAAAAATTCTATTAACATAAAATGAATTGTAATATCAAAACCTACCCAGAAGGCATAGGTATTAATTGTAGTTCTTACATTAGTCATTTTTGCTACTTTTGCTCGAATTGAAATAAAAAGGAAGGCATAACATGTTCTAAGTTTTCATGCTCTAAATAAAATATATTACTTTTTTATACTTTTATCATTTTGATACATGCTGCATTACTTCCATATTAAAGAATTCAAAGATAACTGATTCTTTCTTTTCCAGATATGATGTTTATAAACAGTATTCATTAAAAAGTAGTAAATTTTTTGATAAATTATTTTGGTGTTTTTTTTACCCTGGAATACTTCAAAGGAAAGTTCATTTTCCTAAATTTTCATCTATAATTTCAGTTGTATAATCCTAACTTTAAAAAAACTTTTTTTCATATTTAATCAATGGCAACATGACAACAATACATTTAAGTAAGTTTATCACTTGTATGAATCTTTGCTTATGGACTTCCTCTTTGTAATTTTTTAACATATTTACTCTGATTTAGAACCCTAATTGGGTCTAAAGTTGACCAAGACCGGTAGATGGATTCAGTGAGAGAAATTATTTAGAGACTATTGAAGAGGCAATAAATGGTACTAATCTCTAGCATACAACAGATTTTAGATGCTAACACATAACTGACAATCTCAAAGGTTAGTAATATTAATTAGATATCAGCAGACATTTTTTCAAGAAAGATAGTTCATATTTTTCCTTAGGAAAATATTTGCACAGTGAGGGGCAAATATAAGATGCTCAAAAATAACACTTAAAAAAAAATCTTAGCTTTCTTGCACAAAATATGGTTTATTTTCTATTTAAGCAGGGCATCACAGAATCCCTGGTATGTGTTCTTCTAATAATATTTTTGTTCTATGAATGATGAAATGCAAATGTTGACCGTCTATCAAATGGCAAAAACAGAGGAACTTCTTCTATACTGAGTACCAGAAACTTTAGAATGTGTTTTGAGACTTTAGAATGCACTCCACCCCTCCTCCCCGTAGTCATTAGCTCATGGGCATCGGAAAGGGGAATTAAAAACAGTTCTGACTCTGCCTAATATAATGAAATTTGAAAAGGTAAGTTTTAGATCTGGTGGTGTTTAAAATACTTCCCTATAAACTACTTTTGCAATCTAGGCTGACTAACTTCTTCCTAAAACTGTGTTATATAGGTAATATCTTGAAGACATAGATTAAAATTTGAAACAACACTGTGCTATGACCTGTAGTAGCTTAGAAAAAAAATAAAGATTTTTTTTTGTTTATTTAAAGAGAAAAAGAGCAAAGATTATAAACGGAGGAAAAATAAGACAAGTGAGAGAGGGAAAGTTGGGGAGAAAAGAAGAAAGGAAGGAGAGAAAAACAGACACAAGAAAAATGGTCGTATTCAAAGACAGATATAATTATTCAATATATTTTATATATTATAATGATTATTATCTTGTGTTTCAATTTCCTAAAACAAACATTAAAGATTTTTCAAGCTTGTACTATTAATAAAATTTATTTTCTTTCTCCTTCATAGATGGTTACGTCCTTCGGAGTTATCTGGTAAACGAGTAAGCCCATTTTCTTCTACTACTATACTTGCAAAAAAAATTGTGCGCTTTTCTTTAAAAAAAAAAAGGTGGCTAATATCATTTAATGTAAGCTACTGAACTGTCATGAATAAGTTTGAAAACAATATGTTGTACTAATGTCAATATGGCAGTATCCATAATAAAGTTAAGGTTTTCAGAAAGTGCTACTGTTTTAAATAGGCAAAAGCCCATCTCATTCATGATTATACAGTTCATGGTTCATAGTTTTGTATATTCACTGTGCCCTTAGCAAACACTGAAGACAGGCCAAAACCACTAACCTTTTCATTAATACTTTGTATTTCTCTTGCTCATGCACTTGGTTGAACTGAATGAATTCACGACCAATTAGTGTCTACACAGTAGGTTCTGATGTCACCTGTTAACAGTTTATAGTTTATCCCCTGACTGAGGGCTTTTCTTCCTTCACACTAGGCATAGTAGAGCATTATGTTGCCTTTTTTGGAAGCATGCCAGAAAAAAGATAGCAGTCAATGATTCTTTTATTCTTATGAACAAGACATTGTCACAGTCTGTCACAGTCTGGTACTAGTGTGCCTTTGGAGTCCCCAGAACATTATAAGATTCTGTCCCAAGTAAGCCAGTGCAAAAACTAAACTTCATTATCAGGTTAGGTCATATACCAGTGCAAAGATTTACAGAATTCAGCACAATGAAATGATCCAGGAGGATTCACAACCTGTGTCCATAAACAACCTGACACCAATCAGAAAGAGACAAATCAACGTGAAGAGGTCTGTCCACAAACTGTAATCGTACAGAGTCAAAAGAAAATAATTATAATGCCTTTGTTTTCCTCGGGTCATTAATCATGGAACATTTCCAGAGGTTTTGTTCCATGAAAGATATAAATTTTCAGGAAAGAACGTATGGCAAGTAATAGACAACATCTTCATCAGTGATTATTACAGGCTGATTAAGAGAGAATTTAGAAAGTATATTCTCTAAGTAATTATTGGTTCACCACTTATTGAATACTTAATAAATGATTTTTGAATGAATGACAGGAAAATCTGTCCTCTTTGCATGTGTATCAGATTTCCATTAGCCAAACGCTCCCTCAATCTCAGAGAAAGGATCGAAACAGAAGACGTAGGCAACTCATAGCATCTGCCGTAGTTGGCAGCAATTGGAAGGGCCTCCTGCTGCTGCTATGGTAGAGCACAGAGACAGAACAGCAAAGAGTGGCTCTGGTTTAAGTGACAAAGCCAGCTTACATTTCTGAGCTTTGGAAGTGTGTCCTACATTTCCAGGCTGTGTTAATATTTATAATACTTTCTATTTTTATTACTCATATATCTCTCTCCCATTAGATTATAAGGTACTTAAAGTTTGTGTCTTACTCATAT